GTCTACTACGCTGTCAGTGCAGTATCAGTCTACTACGCTGTCAGTGCAGTATCAGTCTACTACGCTGTCAGTGCAGTATCAGTCTACTACGCTGTCAGTGCAGTATCAGTCTACTATGCTGTCAGTGCAGCATCAGTCTACTATGCTGTCAGTGCTGCAGTGTCTACTATGCTGTCAGTGCAGCAGTGTCTACTATGCTGTCAGTGCAGCAGTGTCTACTATGCTGTCAGTGCAGCAGTGTCTACTATGCTGTCAGTGCAGCAGTGTCTACTATGCTGTCAGTGCAGTATCAGTCTACTACGCTGTCAGTGCAGCAGTGTCTACTACGCTGTCAGTGCAGCAGTGTCTACTACGCTGTCAGTGCAGCAGTGTCTACTATGCTGTCAGTGCAGCAGTGTCTACTATGCTGTCAGTGCAGTATCAGTCTACTACGCTGTCAGTGCAGCAGTGTCTACTACGCTGTCAGTGCAGCAGTGTCTACTATGCTGTCAGTGCAGCAGTGTCTACTATGCTGTCAGTGCAGCAGTGTCTACTATGCTGTCAGTGCAGCAGTGTCTACTATGCTGTCAGTGCAGCAGTGTCTACTATGCTGTCAGTGCAGCAGTGTCTACTATGCTGTCAGTGCAGCAGTGTCTACTAGTCTACTATGCTGTCAGTGCAGCAGTGTCTACTAGTCTACTATGCTGTCAGTGCAGCAGTGTCTACTAGTCTACTATGCTGTCAGTGCAGCAGTGTCTACTAGTCTACTATGCTGTCAGTGCAGCAGTGTCTACTATGCTGTCAGTGCAGCAGTGTCTCCTACTTACTTGAAGCGGGGAATTCCACAAGCAATGTTAAGACACTGTACAGATTCACATTACTATTGTAGACTGTAAACTCTACAAACACAGCAGATGTCCTGATAAAGAAAAACAAGAGGATATTAACACAATATCATTGAACACAGTATCAAAACAAATATATTTATTTTATTTATATGGGCCTATATTTATCATTGGTAAATATAGTTCAAATATTTTATTCTTAAAACGTAGCTTCAACTAATATATAACACACATAATATTTAAATTCACATTCACATATAAAATATAGCATTAAATGTTTCCAAAACCAATGAATTTTCTTGAACAAAACCAGATTGTTAGTTTCCTTCTCGAATTGTTAGTTAGATGTTGAACTATATTATGAACATTATGATAACTATATTAAATTAACTAAAGCGTCGCCAATATTTTGACTATTAATTAATACATTACTAGTATCAAAATCAAAGTCACTCACCACCTATCAATCCATTTATTCGCTAGTAAATAGTTCAGTACGTCTAATGTTTCATAGTATGTAGTCCCAAGATGTTGTACGTATCCGCCTCCATCGTATGTGTTAGTGTACCCTTTAAACGACATACTGAAAACAAAATAAAAATGATATTATTAATATAACAGAACAATTTTGATTTGCGTTATGTCATCATCACCTCATGAAATAACCCAAATGAGTCTGTTGTCAAACTCTACGGGCATATTTATAATTTTTGTGGCATTAAAATAAGTTTACAAGTAGTAAACTTCCTTCGGTTTCATAAACAAGCTGCCTGTCGGCTGAGATAGCTCCGCTGTTAGCAATGCCATTTCAATTAAAGAACTGAAGATATCATTAGAAAATGAACAATATGTATAGAACATTGTATCAAAGCAACCAGACTTGCTGTTTTCAACAAGAATTTGAAGATACCGGTATCACAATATGAACAAATCTGAGGTACCTATATTTATAGTATCAAAGCAATCAGACTTGCAGTTTTTAACAAGAAGTCGAAAATAAATAGATTTTTACCAAAAATGACAAAATATTCACCAAAATTAGAGAATTAAAGATATCACCATGAAATGAACAAATCTAAGAGAGGTCTGCCCAAGGTACATTGTATATACACACCAAGCATCAAAGCATTCAGGCTTGTAGTAAGAAGTCGAAAAAGTAAAAAGTTGACACGGACGTATGATCCATTTCATGCATTGATCAACTCTCTATGGTTACATCAGTTCTATTTTTAGTACGATCTTGTAATCATGATGAACGCCGTTTAAAAGATTCTTGAATTTGCGCTGAGGCTACCAATCAAATCTAGGCATATTTGTATCTTACCCATCAAGTTGTTCTTCGGTCTGGTAAAGCCATGTCTGATTAGTGGTGCTGTCGTAAGTCCATCCTTCATTGTAGTTGTTTGTATCCATATTGTCGTCATCAATACACGTGTCATGTAAGTCAGCATCACTGTATTTGCTATATATCGCACAACCAACTGCAAATGAGAGATGAAAACAAGAGTCATAATTCAGACTGGCACATATTACAGCATCACTGGTTTGAATTTCTTGCCAAACACCATGGACGTATCTGACGGATAATTGCAAAACAGATCATTATCTCATGTGTAAAGGCATTGCCTGGTCACTGGTAGCATAGTGGTTGTTGCATCAGACTCATGATCGGTAGACCCAAGTTCAAATTCTACCTTAGGCTGAACACCTAAAGGATCAACCCTTACCCTGGATGAGTGTGCCACAGACTCAATGGGAAGGCCAATTCCACTGGTCGAGATTCATTCACTAATGAATGCGACTTTGGGGGAACCTTGGTTAAGGTTCACAGGTGCTTGTGTTCGACCGAGCCCGGTTGACGCCAGGATAGTGCAGTAAATTGCCATTTGATAAAGGGATGGCCACACAGCCCTGTCATGTGTGTAGTCCCAAAACATGAGTATGGCTTCTGTGGCAAAATGCACTATATGTCAGCACTTGCAACTTGCACATAAAAAAAAAGTCAGAAGATACAACAGTGACATTCAATGTCCAGAACTGTTGCCTGGCACAAAAAACATTTTAAAAAAAAAAGGCATTGCCCAAATGTTGTATTTTAGGGTGGCATTAGATTAAGTTAGTAATGAGCAAAATGCCTGTAAACTTACCAGGCAGAGTTCTGAGTTGTCTCAGTCTAGCCACTCCTATTGGAAACCCATATGTATAACCTTCTTCAGGATCAAAGGGGTCTAATTCCACTGAATGTAACCCTCTGGCCAAAATATTCTTTGACCAAATCCAAAAATCCTCAGCTCTAAAAACAAACAAAAGACAGAGAGCTAAATCATAGCTAAAATGTCTGTAGCATACGTTGTTCCCAGCAAAACTAGACATTTAATAATAAATGAATTGAACATCTATATGTATACACTACAATAGTGATTGGACAGATTGTCAAAGGTCTCAATGTTTGATATCAACACAGAGGTCTGGAGCATTAGTAAGTGAAAATAACTTAGGTTCTGTCTCAGACAACTAGTCAACCGTTGCCACTATATATACAAATTAAAACACGTACAATTTTTGTCATATTTTACCTTAAATTTCAATCAAGCCAATTGAAAAGCATGTTCATTTGGTCCACATTTATCAAAAAAGTATAGAAAAGTTTGCGCCAAAATGTTTGCAGGAGAAATTATAGTGCTCAAAAAGGTTAAACACAAGATCAATTCTCTAAAGTTTAGCATCAAGAAAAGGCCTCCTCATTCCTTTCTATTAATAAGATCATTCAACCTTTAAAGAGCTGAGATGGCTTTTTTACTCTGTACAAAATACATTTTTGCAGATATATCATCATTTTCATGGCTGTTACACCCTTTTTTTCATAAACTTTGTTTAGTGAGCATACTTTCTTATCTGACTTTCGTAAGCAACAGCATGAAATGGAGCCACATTGTTTCACTCAAATAAATCTGATGATATTTTGTAAGGGTTGTCTAACACATTAAAACAGTACTTACACTCTAATGCTCAGGAAATCTTTCTTGTACTCATAGTCATATCTGGCAGTTACGTAGGTGTTATTCAACTTCAAAGTTTGGGAATACTGCACGGTTTTATTATTTGCTGTGAAATTGATCAATAAAATCAAAGACAAAAACAGAACCCAGACGATGAACTGTCGCAACAATGTATACATCATGTTGATCTTTTTGGCTTCCTCCTTGGCCTGAATTAATGCGTATCCTCCCGGTGGTCGAATACTGCGATGCACTCCTTCCATGTTCTCGATAATATGATTGTCAATGACTTCATCATCACCATAGTCATCCAACGGCTTGCGTAGAAGTGCTCGAAACACTGATATGAATAACACCTGAAAGAAATAATAAAGAGTATTATAATTGCATAACATGTCCACATATTGGTACACGTCTATGTATTGGTACATTTCCATGGTGCACGTCCACATATCGATGTTGACATATTGGTACACATTGACATCTACACAGCCACACACATTCGAACATCCAGAAATGTCCATGTATATTGGCACACATCCACATATCAACATCCACAAATCGGAACATGTCCACAGTACATCCATGTATCAACACATACATATCAGTACACATTCAAATATGGTGCACATCCACTCATAAACAAACACACATGATTGTCCACATATCGGTACATGTCCATGGTGCACGTCCACATATTAATGTTGACATATTTGTACACATACTCACATTGACATCTACATAGCTGTACACATTCAAATATCAGTACATGGCCATGTATCAGTACCCATCAGTACATGGCCATGTATCAGTACCCATCAGTACATGGCCATGTATCAGTACCCATCAGTACATGGCCATGTATCAGTACCCATCAGTACATGGCCATGTATCAGTACCCATCAGTACATGGCCATGTATCAGTACCCATCAGTACATGGCCATGTATCAGTACCCATCAGTACATGGCCATGTATCAGTACCCATCAGTACATGGCCATGTATCAGTACCCATCAGTACATGGCCATGTATCAGTACCCATCAGTACATGGCCATGTATCAGTACCCATCAGTACATGGCCATGTATCAGTACCCATCAGTACATGGCCATGTATCAGTACCCATCAGTACATGGCCATGTATCAGTACCCATCAGTACATGGCCATGTATCAGTACCCATCAGTACATGGCCATGTATCAGTACCCATCAGTACATGGCCATGTATCAGTACCCATCAGTACATGGCCATGTATCAGTACCCATCAGTACATGGCCATGTATCAGTACCCATCAGTACATGGCCATGTATCAGTACCCATCAGTACATGGCCATGTATCAGTACCCATCAGTACATGGCCATGTATCAGTACCCATCAGTACATGGCCATGTATCAGTACCCATCAGTACATGGCCATGTATCAGTACCCATCAGTACATGGCCATGTATCAGTACCCATCAGTACATGGCCATGTATCAGTACCCATCAGTACATGGCCATGTATCAGTACCCATCAGTACATGGCCATGTATCAGTACCCATCCACCTATTGACATACACATATTGGTGTCCACATGTTGATCCATTGATACATGTTCACATATCAACACCCACAAATTAGTACATTTTCATATATTGGTGCACATCCACATACATATCCATATATGCTGCACATATACATATACATATACATACACATGCTCACATATTGGTACACGCTCACACATCGAACACCACATATTGGTACGTGTTCACATATCGAACACCACATATTGGTACGTGTTCACATATCGAACACCACATTTTGGTACGTGTTCACATATCGAACACCACATTTTGGTACGTGTTCACATATCGAACACCACATATTGGTACGTGTTCACACATCGAACACCACATATTGGTACGTGTTCACATATCGAACACCACATATTGGTACGTTTTCACATATCGAACACCATATATTGGTACGTGTTCACATATCAGTCAGTCGACTATTTTGAATCAGATTCATGAAATAAAATGATGTGCATCAAGGTCATTTGTCAGTGTGATGTCAGTTTTTAAAAATAAAGACATTTCCATTCAATTCAATTATCTGAAAATTAAACATCTAATTTGTAAACAACTTTACCTTAATTGGTTCTAGTATGAAGATGGATGCAGCGAACGCAATGGCCACAGCTACAATCCATTGTAACGACTGGTTTACAGTGAATAAACGACTGTAATACAATACTACAGCTAATGATGTCCCAACTAGTAGAAGGCACACTAGGTAGTTGATATACAGGAACCAAGATGGTAAACCACACTTTTTACTACTTGGCTTCTTTCTGTAGCTTGTCTTACTCTGTGCTCGACTTTTATTTGAATTCCTGTCTTCTGCAGCTGTAACAGAAATGGAATTCAAACGATTGTTACAAATTTAAAGAAAAAATAATACTCAAAACTGTGTTAGTGACCATACTCATATAAAAACAACCTGTTTAAAGTGACCACATTTTCAGATATATTCTCGCAGATCCGCTTTTGTTACAAAAATAATAATTCTGATTATAAATTATTAATTTATAAATTTTTAACTTACTCGAGTCAATAAAATTTAATTTTAATCAATAAAATAAATCTGTTTTTAGTGCAACAGTACCATCTCATTATTTTCTGGACAAATATAATGTCAAATCACAGTCCTTCTATGATAGAGGGACTGTGGTCAAATGTACGAGTTGGTCATCCATAAAAAAATAATCCAACCTCTATATAAAGATCATCTGTCTATAAATACAATTTAATGAAGTGCCTTAGGTGGTCACTATACACAGGTTTGAGTGTGCCTTGGGTGGTCACTATACACAGGTTTGACTGTGCCTTGGGTGGTCACTATACACAGGTTTGACTGTGCCTTGGGTGGTCACTATACACAGGTTTGACTGCGTATAAAGCCTATAACTGAGCAAGGTGGTGACAATTAGTAGAACATTTTTACCATGAACTGCATTTGAAGAAACAACCTATCGATTCCATATATGGAGATTACATTTCCTAATATGGTAGGATTCAGAAACCCTTGGTATAAAAGAAAGCTACAGCAGACTTTCATTTCAATGGAGGTATAAGTACAGTAACCGATAACTATTTTAAATAATTTCGAGTTTCTCCATAATCTTGCTTGGTATTTAGTCTACTATAACGAATCTAACCACTAAAAACTAAACGAAGTTGAATACTAAACCATCATGTGTGATGTTAATATCAAGTCTAAATGAAATCAGACATGCAAAAAAAATGATTGACGACATG